CAATGACTCGAATCTCATCCTAAGTGACCTAAGCCATCACTGAAAAATTAAACTATTTCCCAGACCACAGGTACTACATAGGTACGTCGTTTATAAAATGATGCTAGACACAAGCCAGGGAGTATTCAACGAGTATTTGGTCATCGATCTAATCAGCCACCGTTTTAGGCCTGTTTATTTTTCCAAAGACCATATATTATTATTGATATAGCCATATAAGTCATAGGTGTAACATAGGCTATATTGACTTGGCTTCGTATTTCGATTTCTATTATATTGTACTTGTACTAGGTGCCCCGTCACTGCGGTGCCCGTGTATTATATAGCTGTATAAAAACCCCTCTTTTACGCTCTTGGAGGTCTAATTTTGAAAAATCCTTTCAAAAAATAATAATAATAATATTTACAAATGATTTTAATGATTCTATACACATATTGTTATTGAAAAATGATTCTATAGTTATAATTATAATTCGTATAGTAAAACACGTTTATCGCATATCGATACGAAAAGTATTATTATTAATCGATAACGGAATTTATACAATTGAGCTGTTTTCCATACAACTCTTAACTTAATAAAAATGTTATGTTAGTACTTAGTTTGTAGTTTATAATTTCGGCAAGTATTACTACGTCATAAATATAGCAGTTGCAGCTGTTGCTACGTACGATCGTCAGTAGACAAGTTAACCGTCGTAATGTCGTGTCGAAACAAAGATCAATAATATCATTATCATATATTTTCTAGCTGATCTCTTGCACTTCGTTGCCCATTAAAAATGCCAACTATATTTGAGACTCGCTTGTGATAATGTGAGCAGTATATTATCAGGTAGGCTATCTACCTGCGGTAGAATAAAAAAAACTATGCTACCTTAACATAGTACAAAATTGTTAAACTTTATATGAGTAGTAAATAATTTAAGAAATATACTCATGTCAGCAAATTTCCTAAAATTATATTTTGGACAAAGTTATCACGTTCCAAATGAATTTAATCAAAAAAATATTGATATTTTAAAAAATTCTAAAAAATTAACTACTTGACTTAGATAAGTGTTTTTACAATAAAAATTGTTCTTATAATCAGATTCACAAATTGGCTTTTTTAAACTAATCCAAACAAAATTTAGTTAAATTATACATGTAGAGCAAGTGACTATAAATTATATATATATAAAAAAAGTTTTAAATATTGATTAGAACAAAAGTTATTGCATTGGTAAGTTCTTTCTGTTACACCTTGTATATTATAGAATAACATTGAATATCTTATAAATTAAATAAATAATATTACATAGTAAATTCTTAATCAATAATCGCTATTGTTAATATTTTTAATGAGAAAAAAAAACGACAAAATACAACAAAAACCCAAATGAGTCATCATAACTTGATAGATTGTTGACAAAAAGACATGGCTCTCTTATTAGTTGGTCACTTTTTAAATAATTTCTTGTCAGTGGAGCTAAGTAGTAATAGTAGGTATCTGGTGAATAGGTTATTCCTGGAATGTGAAAACCTATTTTGGACAACAAGCAAGCTGTATAGATGACACCAAAACTAAACCATTTAAAAATTTAATATCATTCATATCTCTCTTAAATTATGCTATGTAAAAAGTGTAAGAATTAAACCTAAGTATATTTAATTAATATTTATATATATAAATTATATACCCAATTTGTATTTTAAACTAAAATTTGTATAAAACAACTTCTATCGACATCTTTGACATCATTATTCATAGAAAATAACAATTTAATTTATAAACTAACATAATATTATAGTTATCATAAATTATATAAGACACAGAATAATGTAATTTATGTAAATATTTAATTCACTTTTGGTTTTGTATAATTTTCTATCTATGGCCTAATCGAAGTATAAGCTAACTATAACTATTACAAATATTTTTTTAATCATGTTACATTCATATCTATGGGAAGCACTTTAATTTAAAATAACATAATCATAGGCATATGCAGACTATAGTTCCAGTGTATGTGGCTAAAAAAATGTAATTTCCAGACCCAAATAAATAATAATATAAATGCTCATACCTACTTTTGATTTCAAAGTATTTTTGATAACCATTTTTATGATCAGTGCTTCTTATTAGTTGAGCACAGGATTTTCATTTGCATGTTTGAACATAGTGTATGCAAGTCAATGAGGGTTTTAATTGCCATATCACACTGAATTCAAATACGAAATTTGATTTTGCATAATTGGTAAATTAGTTCATAAAAGCATAGAACATGCATATTTATTGATAAATCAACTTTATTATAGAAAAATTTGTTGACATGTTTCTCAGAATTTTGCTAAAATTTGTTACATTCAATACAGTGGAGAGTCCATGTTAATGCATGCATCGCAGTGGGTTTTTAAATTTTGATTGTCAATTTGTCATGTTTCCTTAGAGTTCCAAAAAATGTCATTTAATTTAATATACATAGTAGATTTTAGTTTTATTAATATTTAATTTATAAAATATTGCATTTTCATATTTTAACAGTCTCACTTTTAGACTTGTCATTATAATATTATTTTAAAATTAAAATAGAAAACAACTTTTAATATAATAAAATATGAAAATGCAATATTTTATATTCAAAATATTTATTTATGGAATGTGATTTTAGTTCTATTTGTTTATTTTTAGGTTTTCTGCGTTATTTTTATTTTCTCTTTGAACATTTTATAATACTGAATAAAATATTTTTATCTATTGACTGTTTGATACAATTTTCATTATTTGAATACCTATTTTTGTTTCCCAAAAAAAGTTTAATAATTTAGTAGTTTATTATTATTGCAATTTTCGGTGTAAAAATGGTTCTATTTTTTAAAGCATATTTTATTTATATAATATTATAATTTATAATGCATACAATTCTGGGCTACTTATTAGTTATTACCTACAAAGTATTAAGTTTTTTTTGTGTTTAGTAGTTTCAGTTTTGTGTTGTTAGATTTAATATTTGAGTAAATTGACAATTAAAAATAACAACAATATCAATTTTGCTATAATTATTTTAAAATAAAATGCAAATTTAAATTTAAAAAAAACAATATCAATTAAATCACTTTAATATTAAAGTCAACAAAAATTGGAACTAGTGAACATACATTTTGGTAGGTGAATGTTACGAGTAGGGTTTTGAAATATTTTACAAAAACGTGAAATATTGAAGATAATAATGCATTGAGTTACGTGGTCAACATATTAGTGATAATACTATGTTACGGTCTTGTTTTTGATGACTATGCAATGATGATACTATTTTTGTAACTAAATTTAAGCTAATATAATATTATTATATGACTAATATAGTAATATATTATCACAAATGTGTTTGTAACACTGTATATGATATTTATTGATATTTTCTTTTCTTAATTTAAACATTTATACATGGTTTATCTATAGTGGATTAGTGCGTACTATATACAAATTTTATATTTGTTAGAATAAATTTTATATATTAGTCAATATTCATTTCTGCACATACGTTTATTGAGTGCAGAATTGCGCAACGTGGGTAAACATAAACCAAAAATGCATAAGTGTTTTTAGAATTGAATAAAAAAAAATAAAATTTATGTCTTGTAATTATTGCAATTGGGCTTCTGTGAAAAATGTAACTCATCAACTTAACTACATTTTAGATTGTAATAAATGCCTAAAAAAAACATTTAAAAAGATGCAATTCAATTGTGTAATAATTTATGCATTCTGTACTTAGATATCATTTAAATATTGTTGTATGTTTTGTAACCAAAAAAACAATTTAAATTTTAAATACTTTTGTTATATAAAAGAAAACAATAAATAATGAAAATCGGATGTAAAAATAAATAAAAACAAATTATATTAAAATATTTCAACATTTTCTATACCTTTCATGAAATTTTTAAACACTATTTATGTGTTAGTAAGCCAGATACAACACATGTGGCTAAGTTAAATGATAAAAATTGTTATAAAATCAATAATTAAAAGAGAATTAGTAGCAATTATGAACATAAACTTTCATACTATAAGTATAAAATGATGTTAATTATTAATTATTAGACACAATAATTATAGTAATTGAATTAGATTTGAATGTGTTTTAAATATAAAGTATGTAAACATTAATTTTTCTTACATAAATGATAAATACAATTTATATTTATTTTGTTTATTTAGTATATGAGCTACATGCTCAAAATGTTAAGTACCTATGTAAATAAAAATAACTTATCTTATCAACATATATACAAAATACATAAAATAACATATATATAAAATAGATTCTGTAATTTAACTAACTTCTCATTAACTTTCAAGATAAATTAAGATATAAACTTTAAAATATTAGGGTTGATCATAAATATACAAATTATTACAGTTGATGAGTAAATAACAAACATAAGTGTTATTATCTACACAAGAATACATTTGGAATCTTATTTATTTTATTAAATGTATTAAAAGTTGACCAAATCTATCTATGTATTAGATTAGGTAACTTTGTAAAACTATAACATAAAATAAAAATAATATATCATACAGACATTAATACTAAGTATAATTATAAAATTATAAATCATTTTCCTCGCAACTCACATTCATATAGCTTGCCAAAATAATCAACGAGAAAACAAACAATTGTGTTAAATTACAAGAATTTATAATATATTATTTTTTATAGATGAAACTTGAAATTTTTTTCTAACTTAACATAGATGAGATTAAACTAGGGAATCACTTACAACACTAACAAATCATAAAACAATAACCAGTACTGAAACAAAATGTGTGTTTCTTTTGAACAATGTTTGAAGTTATAAGGATTTTATCTATAGTTAAAACGTCAATAAAAAAAAAAGTTCAACAAAATGAATCATAGGCAATACCCACATCATTTACATAGATATTTCAAAAACTTGTTTTTTTTTTACCAATAACATTTAATTCATTTTAACATAAAAAATGCAAAATAGTTAACCTTTACTAATGAGTAATGAGTATTGATAGATTAAATTTTATACTTATGTATTGATTGAAATTCATGAATATTAAATTATCAGATAATACTCAACTTTAATATCATAAGTTGGAAATAGTTTTTCAAACAAATAAATAATTTGAATAAATACATACCAATTACTTAAGGATCAAAAGCTTAATTGTTCAATTAAAGTAAAAATAAAATAAAAGCACTTATTTTCCCAACTACATCAGTTTATATCAGTTAGTATGATAGTTATTTAGTTTACTACTAATGCCAATTTTTAGTATTCGACTCTAAGTGACTTTAAGGGCGACAGCAACAATATGTAAGTACATACACATATTTGAACTATTTTAAGAAATAACTAGTTGAAAAAAAACATTTGGATTATCAAATTATGATATTTATTAGATACATTTTGACATCAGATAAGTATCTAATTATGATTAGTCATTTATATTCTGTTAAAACGTTTGAAACACAATGTTTATGTGTAGCAAAAATTGATGAAATATTCCCAAAAATTCTTAATATTTTCAAAACATTCTAAAAATCATTCATTGTTAATAATTTCTTTAGCATAATTCATAACTTCATATTCATAAGCAAAAATAAATTAATATATTAAATACATTATTTATTATTTTGTTAAATTAATTTTGCAATACATAAGCATCAGAAAAAATGTATATTAAAATATTAAATGTTATTAATGAAATGTACAATAATATTATGTAGTGTCAAATTTTCAGGCTCTAAGTTAGCTAGTAGCCATACTGACCAGCATCTCGATTGGATTGTCGTAAAAATAATAGGTATGATGCAACATTATGTAGCTTAGGTTATTTTATTCTCTTCTATTAATTTTAATATTGGAGGAAATATCAGTATACAAATACATTTGTTTATGAATTATGACGAACAACAATTTATTTATCACAGTAAATTATGGAATTGGCGACTAAAAATTTTGAACTCGAAAATACTTCTCTAATATAAACCAATATAGTGAAAACATGCGAAAATATTCTTTTATATGTACCATAAACTAAAATATTCTCTAAGATCAAAATATGCATTAATATGCAAAAGAACATTTTTTGATAGATTTTACAGGTTATGAAAAACACTTCTTAATCCCATCTAACAGCACACACTTGTTAAAAAAATATTTTTGTATAAAAATCTGGACTTAAGTTATGATCAAAAGTGGTTAACTACTCATGTCTTAACTCTACTTTAAAATGATTTATAAAAAAAACAGAATTCACAAAAAATAAGAAGTCTATAGAAAATTTGATCCCGACATTTAATTTTACATAAACTTGAAAACTTAAAAAAATGTATGCAAAGAATTAATGATCAATATCCAAAACTGTCTTGATTTGACTCAATATCTTCTTCTTTCATCAACAATAGACAGCTTCAACTGCTTTCTGTGTTATCTGAAATAATAAAAATTGAATACATTTTATCACAATAATTAAGTAAATATTTGTACCTAAGTTGTAAGTAATATTATAATAATAATATTATAAGTAATATTATATGCAAGGGATTCTTAAATCAACAGTTAACACTCATGAATATGGATAACTGATAAAAGAATCACCTTGTATATTCATTTATATTGTTTGACACATAGAACATTGGTTTATATAATACAATATAGAATGTATAACGTTACTACCCCATTAACCATGCTGGTATCATTTACTTGCACTTTCTACAAATCTGAAAAATATAATATATTAACACTTTAATCTGCTCTACTTATTGTTAATTGAAAATGTATAAGCTAATTTTATAAACTTAACTTATGTCAATTAGTATATAAAACACATCTTTGTTATTTCACTTAACAACTTACCATTAATTAAGAATTATATGTTATTTTGATTTTCAAATTTATATGTTTATATTGTGTATGTACATTAACTTCATATTTTGATTTATCATTAATTATTGATGTTATAATAAATAACAATTGTAAATAAATTTTACATTTACCATGGATGGTATAACACAAGTTTCAAATTCTCTACCTCAAAAAATATGAAATCATTTCGACAAGTTACATTAAAATAATTAACCACTAATATTGAATTTCAAAGAAAAAAATCAACCATAAAACCAAAGCCGTTTTTTATTCAAAAAGCGAAAAATGTGAATACATTGAAAGTAAATATCATTATCATTTATAAATTAACAACTTCAAACCACCATCTGTAATTAAAATTAAACTAAAAAAAAAACAGTCAGGAAGTGTAGGAAGTAACTTTTGTCTGAAGGAGGCTCTTGGCCTTCAGCAGGTCGGTAATTTTATCGGCAGATTATAAAAGATACAGCTGTACATTTAATACGAGCATTTTCCACACAAGCAATATAATAATGTTCATATTATACGAAATGGGTGCGGCCTCAACAATGGATAATGATATAAAAATAATAAAAAACGGCCAACGGTTATCCTTGGACCATGGTCATTGGCACCTATAGTTCATCCTACTCGGAACCTAGCGATGCACATTATTTAATTTTACACAAACGTACGGATTATTTCATAATTTAAGTGTTTTACAGTCAACTGGTGCAATTTTAATTTTAATATTGTACAATTATTTCATAAAAAAAATTACAAACATCAGCACTCGAATTTAACTACGAAAGAATTATAAAGAATTTTCCCAGATGGTTTCCTATCAGACTACTACCGCTACGAGTTCATGTACCGTGGAGAAGAGTTGAACGTCCGGCCATCGGTCTAAGAACTCTATCCATTCACCTGAACAAAACCTGCTAACTCCTCCTCCTCTTCCTCTTTCATCGTCTAACCACTGCAATTCATGTCTGTGCAATTATATATATACACGTATGTAGTTAAGATTTCATACGTACACAATAATAAATAATACATCATTGACCAAGGATATATATAACACAATACTTCTATCCAAGTTCCATTTCCCACAGCCACAAATAGTAAATAATATAAAACTATAACGACTTAAAATAGCACAACAGCGAATATTATATCAAATTCTCTTTCGACAATGTTATTGCAAAATTTAAAGACCTAACAAGAAAGAACATCGTAAAAAAAAATCAAAATCTCAAAAAATCTAACACATGCAGAAGAAAAAACATGGAAAACTTCTTAATACGAACAATAGTTGCGGTTCTTCGAGAAATGTTAAATACTGTGTAAATTATGTGTTCCAACATTTTTAAAAAGACGCGTGTAACTAATTTTGACATAACCGAGCGTCTCGGCAGTCGAGGGATATATAATGAGTTCGGGTAGCTATATATAGAGTGGCTCGTCTGAAAAATATTTATTATTCTTCGTGTAGACTAAAATATACATTTTTTTTCAATAAACCAGTTTTAGACAAATATTTACCACCGCTCGACTAATCCACAGCATAACCAAACGAGTAGGATTTAATAATTAACATTCCACAACATTATATTTTAAAAAAAACCTAGTGTAAATGAAATAGTCGTTTTATTAGGTAAAGTAATTATTTGTTATTTTTAATTTGTTTACGGATTCCAAATCAACAATTCGATTGTAACATATTGAAAAATAGATCCCCTGAGAATAAGTTTGACACGAAATACACAATTCATGAATTATTTTAGTAGTTATATAAGGTTAACCCATCACAACAACTATCATGAGTCATTATAAAACGTGTTTTATAAGATTCCAAAAAAAGATTGCCCTCCTGGACACTTGAATCTTTTTATATACCAAACAAATAATGGGTAGCAAAACGTTAATAGCATCACCATTTGTAAGGATTATACTTAAATATGTTATTAATATTGTGAGATATAACTTACTTACAGTATTTTAAATTATGTAAAAAGTTGATTTAAATTACAAATAAAAATAAAAATATATAGGTACATTTTATCATACTACAACACCTATTAACATCTATTATATGAATATTAATAATATTACATATTATATTAGACATGATGTAAATAGGTACTAGGACTACAACAAAATTACAATGATTTTTAAAATAAGATAATTGAACATTAAGTAATAACACTAACTAATATATAATTAATATTTCATAAACTAGTATTAATTGCTGTCTATCTACAGGGCTGGACTGAAGATAATATTTGTAACAGCGTGTGGAAACAGTCACCACCGGCTGCGGAACAAACTTAAAAACGCAATCGGTGGTGGAGTTACCAAAACCCATTACAAAACAGTTGAAATGAAGACTGATTCACAGCGATGTAATTTGAAGTCAAATGAGCAGGTTTGCGTGACCAAAGTGAGGAACTTCCAACCATTGCGGGATACAAAATAAAACGCCGGCAATGGTTTGGAGTTACCACAGCTTGAATCACGATTTTATCCAGTGTTTATAGTCATCCCCTCTCCACAGTAATTTTTTTTTATATGATCATTATTATATACCCAGGAGAGACGATGTTCGGTGAATACCGCTATGCCAAATTCAGCGACGATTCAAGGTTGTCTTGTCAGGTTCAATAACTCTTAGTAACCTGTACACGCCAGCAGCCAATCATAATTGACTTTACAGCAACTACTACAGCAGTTTATTTATTATTTATTCCTATGGCAACTTGAATAGCAGTAACAGTCTTTATAACGACTATTATATATATTTGAATTTATAAGATGAAAAAGGATTAGAAATGTACAATTATTTTATTTTAAGATTGTTGCCATAGTGAGTAAGAGTTAATTTTATATAATTACTGACGATATGAAATATAAAAAAAAGGAAGTGAGAAGTCAATAACCTGAAAGGGTTTAAAAATACTTATCACACACATTGAATAATAATGTACATCACAAAATATAAATTTAAAAAACTTATTTCACAATTTTATACGATTACAAATTAGCCGTAAATCATTAAAATAAATACTAAAATTACTTAAGATAATATAGATTTAACCGGTATACTATTAGACGCTATCATATGGTTAAGCTAAGTACAAAATTTCAAATAACTAGGTATTGACATTAATTTAGTATAACAGTCATCCTTATGATTAAAAATAAGTTAGTATCAACGATTTTTGTTTTTACTAGGTTTAAAAAGTAAACTGGTAGAAAAAATAAATAGCCAATGTTATTATGATCATTATCATTCTTCGATAGGTTTGTTGTACAAAAGAAAAACATTTCAATATAATATATATTTTGGCTACGAGGGTTTCAAGGCAGATGTTCGGATGCATAAAAGGGAAGAGCACAAATGCTATAGGTCACGCAAAAGGGATGAAGGGAACAAAAACAATATTAATCGATTCTTGCGTTCGTTATACTCGAATAAAGTGAAATGTTAGATGATAAATTACCACGTTTAAAAGCCGGAAAGAAAAATATTATTTTATCAGTATGCGTAGATACACTGAAGAGTAAAAAGTTAAAATGTGAATTGGTAAGAGTGTAAGAAAAATGAGTTTGCGTGAAATACCGTGACTTTGGGGGTTAGAGGAAAAAATATATATATGATTTTGTGTGTACGTGTGTATATATAGTATACGTATATATTATAAAAACAGACGGTTCATTCGATTAGGGTGACTTGTGGGGGATGGGCGAGGGTCGCGTAGGAAGCCGATGCCGGCTATGACCTTCAAACAGCAAACACACACATACACAGGCTTGCCATCTGTTTTTATCGAATGGTTTTATACACTGCGGTATTGAACTTACACACACTAAATTGGAAACATTTTTGTTTTGTATAATATAACGTTTTATCCGTTTACATCTACATCAAAACACAAATAGACACAATGACCTTAAGTCAAATCGGGAACTGTTAAAAATGTTGATCTATATTAAAAGGATCTACTCAGTCGGCCTAAGACTACCAACTAGGTATTCAAATGAATGACGTTTTCGAAAAGACGAGAATAAATTGAGTACGACAACTAAAATATTTTCACGTGTTACTGTTAGCCGAACAACAAACAATATCCATCAACACAAGTTTAAAAATAAATGTACTCATTCTTACCTCGACGAATGGTGTACGCCACACCAACGCGGATGAGCGGTGAGTAAAAATAATAAAATAATACACAGAACAAACTGAACACCGATAGGGAAATATTAAGTTAAACATAAAAAAAAAAACAAAGCCATCGGATCGGATCGCAAGGGACGCAGACCGAGACGAGAACTGAACTGCCGGCAACCGAGGTCCGAGAGCCGTGCGTACTCCGGTGCGTATGCGCGGTACGGACGTACGGTGTGCGGCGTTGCTAGCCGGCAACGAACAACGACGGTAAGGGGGTGGAGGGGGACCGTGGAGGCCGAAGGGACACCCCCTCTCAACGACGAGCGCAATATCATACCATACGGCGCCAACGCCCATGGTAAGGGTGAACAACTAACCTAGGGTAAGAATTTTAACAATGGTCCCCGCGTGTACGCACGGTAGTCAGCGGCGGTGGTGTAGGTCGTTTTCGGTCCTATCCGCCGCCGTCACTCCTCCTCTATACGAGCTAATATCCATTATATGATTAACCGTTTTTTTCATCAGGGGTGACAACAATAATGCGAGCATGCAGCCCCAGCGGTGAGAAAACACGACAACATTCACATTGAAATTTTAACGAAATTCGGGGGCCTGCGAGCAAAACAATATTATATTATAATAATAAGTAGAAAGAAGGGGCTTCTACTCCATGTCGATCGGAAAAATTTTTTAATGAAAATT